AACACCCACACTAGACGCTTTCCGGATCGATTGCGATGTAGTTACGAGAGATGCGGGTCGACTTCAGAGTTGCCTCAAGTCTGCAGATGGTCTGACCTCGCAGTAGCGTTTAATCTCCGCACGGACCAAAACTCGCCTGCCCAAGCAGCACCAATAATGCTTCAACTCGACTAAGCGCACTTTCCACCTATCCCTGTGCTCACAACGAGTGGGGACTACGGAAATGAGGTTTGGATCGTCACCACGATTCCTAATTTAGTCGATCCGCTGCTTTAAACGTTGCCACAAGGATTTCATTATGGCACAACGGTAATTGCCTTCGTGGACGATTGCGACTACAAGTCGGTTGAAGATTGGGGTGTATAATTTGGTTTGCTGTGAAAAAAAACCTGACTACATGTTAAAACAGAGATTCATCGCTCACAAGAATGACGGTGTAGTTAGAATCAGAGGCGACTTTCTACTCAGAAAGCGATCTTGGTTCATGCGGTGGACAACGTCGAACATGTAATTTGATTTTTGGAGTGAAAATTATTTGTCACGTCCAAAATACGTCCGTTTTTGCAGTGATGACCTTTGAGAAATCGACAGCAGCTGAAAATACGGTAGAAATAGACGAATAGCCGAGTTCTACTGGCGTTGGCTTAAAACACAAAAAGTGGAGCGAGTGTGTGTGTGTGTGTGATGGGTGCTGAGTGATGCGTTAAAACCGTTAAGTAAACACCGGTCGCCACCTACGGTAGAAACTGACGCTGCAATAGCAGCTTGGAGGGAGGCCATCGATGCTGCCGGCAGGAAGCACAGCAGACCCCAGAAGATAGCGGCGCACACAGTCAGCACAACCGCTACTCCCAGGATAATGACCCCGTAGTCGAACATTCCCCTGAAATTCAAGGCAAAACGAAATTTCATCCACGCACAGTGCAAAATATACATGTCACCTTTTATTTATTCAGTAGGTTTTTCTTTTTATTTTTGGTTTTGAATACAAGTGAATTGATTTCTTGTGTAAATGCAACAGCCACGTAAAAAAGCCTCCATTTCAAGAGGGGTAATAAAGGCGAGTAGAAAGGGCTGCAGTCACGATATATAACTTATTAAAGAATTTAAACAAATATTAACGGCGGTATTCAAACATTTTTAGATCCAATTGGCTGACAGGAAAGCACTTTTGGTTTTGCAAAGTAAAAAGGCACTTTTGTGCACAAAAGGTGAAATTTTATTAATTCTTGGCGTCCTCACTCGTAAAACCGCACTTTACATTTCACATGAACGAAAGTCGATATTTGGGTACTTTGGCGGATGGCCCTCGTGAAAATCGATATTAAGCAATTTGGCGGATGGCCCTCGTTAGGCCCTTTTGAAACTTAAAATTTCCTTGGGGGCTTACAAATATTGATTGACAGAAACTGCCAAGGTCGTGTTGGCACCACTACGCAAGAAATCGAGCATAAGAACGACAAAAACAAAATATGCTCTCAGCCAATAGGAAGTGAGAGATACTTTCTCCTGCTAATTCTCTCCAACCAATCGGCGTCAAGTTAACCTGGGCCTATAAGCTCGTGAAAAATTGTCTGGACTCAGACGTCTGGATCGTGGTTTTAGATGGACTGTTTTAGAAATAGATAAAAGCCAGGAGGACGTGGTGGCTTACATTCGTGTTTTCATGACACCATCCTCCATGTAGTATTCGTCGTCGTTGCCGTCGAAATCGAGAATCATGAGTGTTACACCGGTCGTGAAAGCGGCGACAGAGAGCGTGAGACAGACCATTCCACAGATCTTCAACATCCTACTCTGGAAGTTGATTTGACGGATGCGTTTCTGAATGATCGCCGTCATTGTGTTTGGCGCTGCCGCGCCTAGCGTGGAATTCTGTGATGGCCGCATGTTGCCTGCAACAAGAAAAGGACACAAAGAGGCCAAGGCCATTCTACGCATCCCAAACAAAGCAAAACAAGAACTAAATCGTGCTGCATGGCGTACAATTAACCCCCACCACGTCTGTCAAGGTGGACATTTGCAAGAGTGGTGCGTTAGTTGGAGGCATAGTTCGCCGCAGTTATTGGTTAATTTAATCTGGAATTCTGTTGAAGGCATTGATTTAAACAACCGCTGCCTCCAGCACTGGAATCACTTCTAAAAAGCCGTTTGGATTTAAGCTGACAAGTGTGATTCAACACTAGCACTGTTTGTGAAGCAAGGATTTGGTTAAAAATGCCCGCATTTAAAGCTTCCCACTTACCCAGCACACACCTACTCTGTTCCCCGACTAAACTCAAATCGTGACAAATAAGCCCTATAAACAAACAACTTCAAAAAGCAAACGAGAGCATCTATAGGTGGTTGGGAGACACGAAAGGACACAGAAACAACGCATACTTCCAAAAAAAGGCGTAAACAGAGATATTTACCAAGGCGGGAGACGAGATATGCAGTCGGAGTGGCAGAATTGCGTTAGTGAACATTTAAAAAGCTAAATGTGGTTCCCGTGAGGTGTTAGGGGCCAAAGTCCAACGACTTAATTAAAATACGCACACCTTCGAATTAATTCACGCATCTTATCAATCAACGTTGCTTAAAAGGGGTTAGCAGCGTTCGGGCGCACAAACACGCACGCACACACGCACACATGCACGCACAACTTTTGCGGGTAATTTGAATTCGGCACTGTCGTTTGAGCTGAGAACATCACAGGAAACGCGACTTTCAGGTTACCGCCACTATTCACTGCTAACGCTGATTGTTATTAATGTAGATTCGGCATAACTTAAGCATACTTTCCGACGTAGGGATTAAAGCATTGTTGAGATGCGAATGTTCTGAAGTGGCTACCAACGCTTGTACTATTTTCTCTTTACTTTCAATTGGGGGATTTAAAGTTAACAATTAGTGACCACAAAAATTGCCCGTTTTTCGAAGTTGGTGCGATGTCTGCAGATATTTGCGTCGTTAAGACCTCACAGCAGAGTCATGTTGGGTGTACCAGTGGGCAAACCCCTTGCCCAAACCAGGGTCCAGTCCAGGACAAAGGCACGGGCTCGTGGGGAGAGCTTTTGCCATCAAACAATAGGTGTAAATATGCCCAAGTCCGGTGACATTGGATTATAAATCAAGCACACCGGATCCGCTGTGTTATTTTCATCTGATTACGCCACATAGATACCCGAAAACTAAGAAGAACGAAAATGACTCGACCTAGTTGTCGTTGTGTACATGAATTCATCGTCGAGCATTACAAATGAGTTTGTTGACCAGCAGTTTGGTGGACTCGTAGAAGCACAAATGAATGAGTGGCCAAATCATTATTCACTACTCAGTCTCACGGCAGACGTCCGAAGTGTAAACCATTACTTTCTGAAAATGCAGGTAGCCGAATGGCCAGACGACGGAGGTGTGTTTGATTGACGTGGAGGCTGTGAACAGGGGGTGTGGCGGTGTGGCGGCGACTGTTGAATAGGAAATCGTGCTCAGTAAGAGCAGAAACGACTGTCTTGATGATAAACACGAATTTGTAGTAGGCCCCGGGGCGGTTCTGGAAACCTCACCAGGGCCGGCGATTGACACTGACAAGGCCCCTACCGAAAGAAGAGTATAACCGTAGATGGCGCGTCTCTCAACCAGTTTATCAAAGCAGTAGCGGAGTGTGTGTGTGTGCACAGGATAACAAGTGTGTTTAGATAGCTTCGCTAAGTATCGATCCCTGAACGAACAGAGTGCATTCACGAAAAATCGATTGAATCGTGTTCGCTCATGATTGCTAACTGTGCTCGCTTGCTGCTCCCCACAAATTTTAGTTCATTTCGAAAAAAAGTTGGCTGAAAGCACGACAGGCATTTTTACTCACCTCTTCACAAAGATCTTCCACAACCCCGAAGACCAACGCTTCTTTGTAACTTCAAAAACACCAAGATGGTTGAAGCCACTTTGCTAGTATTCCATGAAAATCTACAAGTTAATATCTCTTAGAGCCATTTCCTGTTGCATTATTGCTAATTCTGTGAATTGAACGATATTTATTTGGATCTGCAGCAGCAGCAGCAGCAGTGGGTTGAAGTCTGCTGAAGCTAGTGTCTGCGTCACCACGAGATGTTGTCATGGCGACGAATACCACCTTGTGCTTCCTTGTTTCGCCTTATTCTGTGAAATCACTGTTACATGATCCTCTCGCAAAATCAACTGCACCACTGTAGCGTACATTTTCTGCAATGCTGAAACTTCCGAAATTCGTCAGTAGTTAAAGATAGGGACGAAATCCGTTTTATTACAAGGGCAACTTGTCCTCAAGGCACACGCAACCATTTCGCCTTCACATTGCAAAACACAGAGCACAATTATAACTAACCAACACGGTTACACCAGCAACGCCCATGCGTCTTGCCTTTTCGAAACACATCAATTACCACATTGTTTTTCTTGACATAACACAACACGAGGTGTTTTTAAGAAAGAATTGGTATCACAACTGCACTCGTGGGCGTGATTTAATGCTCCGACTTTTTCTGGCGGCAGACACGTCATGTTGTTTGGCCTTTAACAACACAGCGTAGGCACACACACACACACCCACAGTTATCTTTTTAAAACGCCTGCCTCTGAATTGTTGTTTTGAAAATATCTTGCAATGGTTGATGAAACCTTAAAGTAACCTCATTATCACCATCGCTGTACACTCCTGTCACTGTAGCTGGCGCATTTCATGATTGAAAGGAACCTACATCTGGGAGTGCCTTAACGATAGTGTAGTTGATTTGCAAGCACAGACATGAGTAGGACAACGGTAATGTTGGATATCGGGACTCTGCGGACACCAGTGGCATCGCTTCTCAACCTAGTTCCATGAGTTAGCTCTGATGCTTTTGATGCCTTCCTTTGTCTAGATGGAACATGATTTCTCAGCGATTTACTTTGTTACTTGATAAGTCGCTTGCATTGGTTGTCAACAGTGAACATTTGTTCTGATTGGTTAATTGTTTTCTGATGACCACGTGCTGAACCAACACATTGATCTGATTGGTTGAGTCAGTTGAAGACTAGGCTTTTTTAACAGTACCGATGATGCATATATATGAATGCACAAATTCGAAGCTTGTAGTGAATATTGGTTAATTTCGATTCAAAATATCGAGGTTCTCAACGTGCTCGAGTCATCCGGAGGGTTGTTTATTTGCTGAGCATAATTTAATTAACAAGATCTCGGGACTCTGTAACATAGCCTTTGAAGTTTTGACAGGGTCAACTTCGGCAAACAACAATTCCCCACACATCGCTTTCGAAGACAACAAGAAATAACATCATATTAACATTAAAATTAGCAAGCCACAACACTGATAAAATTCCTTTCAAACAAATCCATTTGTTGAAACGCAAATTATTTACATTTTAACCAACCAGCTGTCATCCAATCACAAGTTGGCAGATTGTAAACCTGAACCAATGAGGAATCCTAAATTCTGTTTTCGAACTATGTTTGTTGCTTTAACCAAAACTGGTGTTTCGATAATGGCAAGTTGCATCAATGATGCGAAATTTTTTTTGTGGCAGTAAATTTAAAAAAAACCATCGATATTTTCGAGTGAACAGGGTGTTCAGCATGACATCATGGTGACGCCAGATACGTGATTGGTCCTTCGGGTGCCACGAAGGAAGGTCACTTTTAAGCCAATTGGCTTTCGTGGTAATGAGATTACAATGTGGTTGTGAAGTTTCATTAAACGGCGCAATATGCAAACAATAACAAGACCACTTTAAGCCTTGCACCAATCAGTTGTCTTGGTGGTTAAGCTCACAGCTTGCACAAGTGGTTTTCATAAATTGGACAGCCTACCACGTGCACGTAAGTGGTTCAGGAGTTTTGCGATAGCTTGCACGTCGGTAGCCCGTAGTCTGAGTGAGTTATTGATGGTTTACGACACGCGTCAATGTTGTGTAATTGATTCGCACTACACTGGTCGGTCAAGGTCATCGAGAAGATCAACGGTAATAGCTGATAATAACCCTTCTGCACCAAAATCCACCATTTATAACAAATCTACGGGTACACAAACCCCGTAACACCGCGACTGAGAGAGACAGTTGCATTTTTTGGTGCCTTTGCGATTTAATCTTCTTGCAACATTTGCAGGCAATGGCTGTGAAAGTTCATCTAAAGTTGGTGATTTAAACACAGCAGCCCGCCAAATTACCCCTGCCAGTTAAGACACGGCAAGATCACGAATTCGTTCACCAGCCAGTGTCACGTATCGCATTTTATAAGGTAGATATTTTGCACACCTCAAATCAAGTCAGTACGTGCCATTCTGACCGCTTTACCATCTTTGCACAGCTTGGAACCAGCCACAGATGCTCGACTTAGACGACCCAGAAGGTCCGATCAAATCGAAGATGGCCCTGGGTGTGTGGACGATCGGATTCGCTGGTTCACTGGTTCTCGCGTTTTTCTACTGTCCCACAGACTGGAACGGACCGTAAGTCCAGACTGTCGCTGTTTGGTAGAAATTATTTACGCTCACATTCCAGTCATTATGACGCGTTGTTCCATTGGTTACTTCGAGGCAGCAAACGACTGACTTGAAGTGACCTTTACCATAAATTTCTTTCGATTTTCAACCAGTTGAAAGACGTGAACATGAATTTGTTATGTTTTTTTGAAAATGTCGGGTCATTAAAGTGGTAGTGAGAGGGCAGTAGGCAGACTCAGTCGTTTTTGTTTTTGTCGTACCTATGGTCACAGCCTTGTTGATCAGTGCAGTGTGCGTGTCTTGTAAAAGTACAAATGATTGAATGGCTAGACGAGTAAAACGAGCAGCAGTGGGGGTGGTAAATGCTGAAGGGTGTGAGCATGGATGACGGAGGTGTGCGGGGTTTACGAGGGATGGATGTGAATCACCAAGATTCACGACAGGAGTCGTCATATCCGTTGGGAATCTCCTAGGTACTGATAGGAACGGGCTAAAACCACGATCTTTACTTAAAGACAAACTACGGGTTTAGTTAACTAATATGCCATTTGGTACTGGTGGAAATTGTGATCATTTGAAATCACTACCAATTTGGACACTGTGCTACCACATCACTCAAAATGGCGTCCCGCGTGCTCAATGTCCACTCACCCAGATGGCGATGCGTGGTCAGTTTGCGGGTTAATTCGTGAATGCGTTCTAATCAGACACAAGGAGAGCATTCCCCTAGTGTTTGTCTGGGCTTGGGAATCGATATCTGGAGGGTAATGTTGACTACAGTAGCTCAACGAGATAGTTACTACACTACCTGATCAGGAACACGTACCAAAAAGGTGTGAGATTTCGGTGTACGCTAATACACCATGTCTACGAGGTGTTTTAAAGCAACAAAAGACTCGAGGCGGTTTGGAAACAGCGAAAGAATAGTGAGTTCTTGTTTTAGGGCTTGCACGACCGGCCGGTACATGGCGGCCTTCTTTGTCCTTCCAATTGTCGTTGCTCTGGCAGCTATCTACGCCTACGTCGCCTACCTGGAACACGTAAGTTGCGTGTGCGGATTATCAACTGTACACGTTGGTGCGGTTCTGATCACAGTGCCGCTAACAGGACAGCCCACGTCTGTTCCGCTCAACACGAAAACCAATTCCAAATTGACCGAACACCACTTTACTGTGGGCGTTGATGTTATTGAGAGTCATTGATTGCGTTTTACACTCGCGAGATCCAGTCCAAGGTCCGCAAATGGGGTCCCGGGGGCTCACCCCCCAAGTACCTCAAAGACGCCCAGGTCGTCGCCTCGGCATTATCGATAGTCGAAAACGCTACCTTAGCCTGTTCGGGGTCGCATTACGTGACTACGTGGACACTCCACAACCGTCTGGAAGAACTTAATCAAGATAAGCGCACAGTGAACACCTGCAGTTACCACATTCATCGCAGGACAGATTCCCCTGTCACGTGACACGAGGTGTGGTGATTAAGCGCATCACGGTAAGCAGACTGAATTTCGAGGTAAAAAACAGTAAGAGGTCTAGAGCACAGCGGTAGAAGGCAATGTATGTTAGTTGTTGCTAGTTCCCTAGACTACTCTCAGTGCTTCTAATTTTGGTTTTTTTAATAGGCAAGAAGAACAGAAGCGAGACCCGACTTTAAGCGCGAATAAAGAAGCACAGGGCTCTACGACAGAAACTCCGTTTATTTTATTTTATTGAGGCAAAACTTCAATAAGAGTGTCAAAACACAACCGGCAGTAAAAGACGCGTAAGCGGTTGGGTAGATGATAAAAAAAAGTACGCTATCTGAGCAACGTTATTGAAAATGATGAATGCTATCGTCCAGGGGATTGGTAAATGCCATCGCAGCGCGCACAGACGATCAGTCGCTCAGACCGGAGCGGTTCTTGTCGATGGCCTGCGAGCGGGCATCGGCACGGCGTGATGCGAGCGCCGCAGTAGCTCTGGCGCGTTGCTTAGCAACTGCTGTCTTCGTCACTGGTTGCCTACGCGGATCGGTCTTGGGAGTCAAGAGTAAAGAACTCCTGCGTCGCGAGTTATCGTACAGCTTCCGCCGCATGAAGGCGCTTGCCTCTAACTGGGGTTTCGGATTACCTAGGCGCCACAAAAAAGGTGATGATATGGGAAATCTCGGCTCTGCGGTGCCGAGCAAAACCCAACTTCACTTAGGCTCGTATGCTCCATTTTGTCTGATGATCCCTCGTCACCGTTAGCACAGATTTGAGTCCTCACTCAGTAAGCGCAAACTGCGCCGAGAAAACTTGCTACCCTTCAAAGAACAAACAACAGTCAAGTGGTGCCAGGTCAGGAACACTTAGTGGAGCACGATGTTTTGGCGATTTGAAAATTTTTTGGTTCATTTCCAATTCAGTTGCACTAGATGGTCACAGTGAACACCTCGAAGCAGCTGAAAACACCAGTTTGGGCCGAGGGCGTTATATTAGGACTCATAACAACGTTTTTACAAATTGTAAACATTGGGGACCTGTCGACCGGCCGTATACTATCACATGGGTGTTGCCCCATATCTTGAGAAACCAAGCAACAACAACAACAACTATTTATGTGCAATTTGTACGGAGCATTTTGCTTAAATTGTGGTTAACCCCTAACTTAAGTATAAGTGCCTGTGGGGTTTTTAACAGGTCTACGGGAATGCACAAAATTGCTGGGAAGAATGAAGTTGCGACGCGCACAACCTGCGTCTTTATGTTCACCTGGCAGGTCGCATATTTCAGCAAACCAGGTAAATATGAAGATACCTCAATAAGGGACGCCTAAAAAGCGAAGGCGTGATTTGAGGAATTATCAAGTTAAGTTGAGTGACGTTATGCTGTGTAGGAGGTAGGCGTGAATCCACATCCAGGGTACGCCTACACCTACGCTGTTTTTTTGCCAGAAATTAACGTACGTGCGCACACTTAGCACACACCAAAATATTACCACAAGCAGAAAGTGACTACGCAAGAGCACAGACGACCTTCGTTAAGTGTAAACACAAAACACCCGCGTAAGCACATTGCAAATGACTAGCCAACAGCCCAGAACTGATTTTACACAACTAACACTCAACATTAATGTTTGAGGTCATTTGATTTCGTTAGAAATGTGACCTGAAGGCCAGTCTTCGCGACCCGAAATTAGCAACAGCGAAGCAAAAACATCGTACAGTTGAATAAGTGGGAGGCAACAACTTGGAGGCGGTCAAAAGCTCAATAAAAAACGAGACGATGAGTTCGAGGCACTAAATTTAACCAGGAAGTACTTTACAGAGGAAGTGCAAGAAGCAAAAATGCTGTCTTACCGCCTGCGATAGATCGCCTGGTTGCTTGTTTATTGCTAACAGAGGGAAGACCATCAGTCAAGTGGCTAGCGTTTGAATCTAAAACGGCAAGAGTCGTGTGCTACTAAATTCAAAAACACAATCACTGTGTGATTTTGACAATTAGAGGAAAATGCGCTACACGAGATGGATAACTGAAAAGGCAGCATTAAACAAGCAAGATTTCGGTAATCAAATAGAGATCAATTCGTCACTAATAAGAGTGTCATGTCATTAAGGAGCGGCACCAGGCTAAATTTAGTGCATAAAATTTATGAGTTCACAACATCGAAAGAGGAAAGATGATGTTGGTTACTTACTGGACAGTGAAGGACTCCTACCATGTCGACAAGTGTCAAATGAAGGAGACAAAGGCGGTTCCTGCCTTAAGTTGGGTTCTAAGAAAACCAAAGTCGTAAATATTAGCGCAAAAATAATACCGGGTATTAATGACACCCTGAGTGAAATCTCAACCAATCAATCTGTACTAGAATACCCAAAGCACTGGTAAAAATACACCAGGGATTTTAAAGCACAATCTCGTTCTAAAGATCCCAAGCTTTTAAGTTCGAAAACCATTTGAAGGAATCGAATATTAAGGGAGATTAAGCGAGCATAGTCATCAGTAAAATAAAAAAAAGCATAGGGGAGATGGAACTGAAAACATCTTAACAAAAGTAGAAAATCCTTTTAGAATAAATTTATCAAAAAGGATTGACTGTTGCATCAAAAAAATGTACCTTTACGATCGATCACGGGTGTGAGGGACGGGAATGATGCATTTTGTAACTTAATTCAAATGACGAAAAAAAAGTAATTACCACGAAAGTGGTGTTGCTCAGTGACGAATCATCTTCGTGAATACTTTCATCTGAGGTTAAAATGTCCATTTCGCAAAGAGTTCAACGCGCGCGTCCAAAGACAATTGTGTAGTGTGGAGTGGAGTGTTGAATGTAATGTGGTGTGGTGTGACGTCGGATTAGGGCGCAGACATGTTGGACCACCTGGCCGCAGCCAATCCCGTGTCTCTCTGCGATCCAATGGCATGCGAGAAAGGAAGGTAGCCAACCAGAGAAGGACACGACTGAGGAGCTGTATATAATGAGCGGCGTGGCCAGCGTGGTGGACTCGGATGGAAGGCGCCTGGCGCGTGGCTCTGGCTTCTGATTGGTCAATAAAGCCTGTTTTGTTGTACTGATCTTTTACCTATTAGGGCTCGGGTATTCTACAGTGGACTTGAAAGGACGGCGACTGACATGTGGATCTGGCTTGTGATTGGGCAATAAAGCCGTTCTATTGTTCCGGTCTTTCATACATGGGCAGAAAAATGGGAACGCAAATGCCAAATGAACCTTTTAAGTGCACATTATGTTAACTAGTTTTTTGTCAGACGAGAAAATTAATTAACAAAATTCCGGGCTACTGTTGGGTTTTCTGCTAAGTGTATAATCTTAAAGGTGAAACGAATGTTGACATGTATGACTTACAGATAATGCACTGGTAAAGTATGGATTTTCAGCATCAACCCATTTAAATGTTCTCAATTGCCTAGACATCTCATGATTTCCATATCTAAACATTTATTTCTCAAAAGGAAATAATTACCTCTCAATGTTATAAATGCCATCGAACATTCTGCGACTCAAAAGCACGAACTAATCCGGCTACATTTAGGCCATTAATTTCGGCTAAATTTTTGCTGATAGGCGAATCTGCTGGGAATGCAATAATTGTCGTTAATTAGCTATCTAACAGGACACTAGAACAGTACATGTATTTAATCAATGTAGAGGCTGATAAACGCTGGATCACATGGTTCTGCAAATGTAAATCACTTGACTCTCTGACCTTGCAGATTGTCGACAGACGCGCACTTTCTGCAAGTTAAAAGCACGAATATCGGTGAAACGCGAAAGCGAGTGCTAAGGTTAGTTTAAAAAACAGCTATCATCGTCATGTGTTGTAACTATCTAATAAGTGACGAAACTGAGCAATTTTATGTCCGTAATGCAAATTATCACTTTTGAATGATATTTGAGCAACTCCATACGGGAACTGACACATTGCACCATCAATCTTTCGAGCAAATTTGCAAGTTGCTTTTTCCAAAGTATAGATGCAACTTTGTCTCAATCCCATCAAATGATTTCGCCCGCACCGAGGTAAAGATATTTAAAAAAAGTATAAATTTCTAACACGGAAAATAAAATACGAATAAATCTAGGGGTTCTGTTTGCAATTAACCAATCAAAATTACTAAAATATAGCTAAAGAAGAAAGTTTCTATATTTTACGTAGGGCCAAATGTAAGTGTTTGAAGTATTTTTCGATTATATGTAACCGAGGTGCAGCCTCGTTTGTTTCAAAATTACAATATCTTCATAAACACGATGTTTTTAATTTATGGTTAGGGCACTATGAAGAAACTGTCCGGAATTTTGTAGAATTTTGCAATGTGCTTGATACATGAAAAACCATATCTAGAAAAATATAATTAAAACATAGAGTGCCAAAGGAAAATTTGATATTTGGGTGTTTTTATTAGCAAGGGGATCCAATTTGTGCTAACAGAGAGAGAAATAATTTTACTAATCGTAGTTTAGGAGATATCAATTGATTTAGAACACCTTATTGATCATGTGAGAAGGATGCGCTTTGAGAATTTCCAGGTTGTTTACGAAATATAAGTCATAATAGAACAGCACATGTTTAAGAAAACATTTATATTAATCAGGGTACTTTAACTTTAATCTTTTTATCACTTCAGAATTTGCATCATTACATATTAATGCTTATGAGCAATTCAGAGTGAGTTTTTGAAGCCTTGCTAATTGAGCCAAACATTCAGCACAAAACCTTTATTTGCAAAAATACTGCTTTAGAAGTCTGCTTTTCACAAGCAAGCGTTTATGTTGCACTTGTACATGTATTATCTGAATGTGATCTAGTTAAACTTATTTGTTTTTGAAATTCAAATCACGACCACATTTTTCCTTAAGTAAAAAACATTAAACTTTTGGTTAACTTAATACCGTATGTGTCCTATTTTACACTATGCTGCAAAAATATTTTAAATTTTGGTCATGTTTAGGGGCTTTCGAACACCTTTGATTGCGCTGATGTTTTGAGGGATCACCTGAAAATGCAAAGAGGATGAACACTCTATATGTCGAAGCTTAAAAAATGCACAATGCATGTAACGAGTGAAATCACATTTATTTGCTAATTATGTTCTGTAAATTTTTGTTAGCTGATGATGGATCTGTTTTGTTTTATCTGCCACAGTTAATTTCAAATGACCTCCAGAAAGCCCTGTAACCGCTCATTACAAAGGTCTTATCGTTTGGTGAGTAGTACGAGCCGCCATGAACTTCGGCTACTTTTCTTTAAAACGAAGTAAGGATAGAACAGAAAAGGCTGTTCCAGTTACGCAGGAATCTGAGCCAAAGCAGAAGAATAGCCTAAGTGAATCTGTCAAGAAAGGTTTAGAAAATAGCTCGCGTGAAAAATTGTTATGCGAGTCTACCATGGCAAACTATAACAAGAGTCGTTCCATCGGCGTTGAAGATGAAATAAGAGCTCGCGGGGGTGAAGCAAGCCGCAAAAAGTCAGTAAAGGATCCCTTACCAGAAGTCAAAGCTGTTGTTCCACACAATCATGTGTCTGCCAAAATTCATTCTCAGCCAACACGTAAAGTCGATACCCCATCTGGGTTAGAAAATTTTGGAAATACGGTGAGCTGATGCAGCATTTTGAGGTTTACTTTTTCTTAAATCCAATTGTTCAAGCAAATTGTATAGAATTTTCATGAAATCAGAAACGGTCATTTTTTCATGCATATTTAGTTTTTAAAGGCACCAAGTTTGATCATTACGGGAGATTTTTTTATTGCTTGCATTAGACGCCTATGCGTAGAAAAAAGGCCTTGGGTGTTTACATAAATGTATAGGAAACCTAAAATGGTTGCGATTTTTACAATTCCCTCAAATTATCGTGTTTTTATAAGATAACATGCTATTAGGTTTTAGGCGATATGCTAGCCTGGAAGATGCATTAGCCCAGCTATTATTAACTAGAGGAAACTACACACGGATATCTCACAAGATATTCAAATTCGTATAATCGTTTTTTACTCTTTCTTTTTTTAGTGCTACATAAGCGCTACTCTACAGTGTTTACGTAGCACGGAAGTTATTCGGACATATTGTGTTGAAAAACGCTACGAGAATTCTCTTCTTGCTTCCTCAAAATCAAGCGGTGATCTATTTCCAGGTAGGTTTTCCTATTTAATTTACCTTTCAAAATGCATTATTTTTGTTTGGCCCTTCACAGACAAGAAAATGAAAACCCTTATTTGTTTTCACATTGATCTTGACTCTTATAACAGGACTAGTGTATAAATTAAATGTTTGTCATTAATTATTCCTTTTTTAGCCTTTGCGAATCTGATAACACGAATGCATTTGACCAGCAATGGAACCGTTGGATCGAACTACATTCAAAAGTTCAAAAACGCATTTACTAAGATCGTTCCAATATACAATGGAAACTTGTAAGTTCATTGGCGTTCATTTATCGTTTTTACCCCATTGCAGCATAGTTTGCCTTCTGTCACAATGTTAACTGTGTAACCCATTGTAGGCCACAGTTTTTCTTTGGTTCTTGGTTAAAAAGTGTATTCCAAGGTTTTGGGTGGCAATATTTACTTCATTCCGATATTCATGGTGAGTGATTGAATGCTTTCGATACTGTACACGTTTCATCGATTACTCAGGCCTGTCGCGTGCCTCTACCAGAGGCTTTAGCATCCAATGAAACTTCTTGTACGAGCAGTGTAACGGTGTAGCGAGATCTTCATGTCATTAGCTGTAAATTTGTTTGGCCAAATTTGGCCCGAATTTGCATTCATTTAATCATGCTTTATCCGGTGCTGCACGCGTCGAGGCAGTGGTTCAGCTGATGTATCCAGTAAGAAGTTTCGATTTAGCTACCTTTCTACTAGATTTGCCATATTTTGAGTTGTGTGATATAGTAAATTGCAAGGAATCTTTTACTTTATGTATTACGGCATAACAGTGGCGAAGTCATTGCTTAAATGAACGTGTGCCAAACACAGCATCGTAGATTTTGTCAGCCCAATGACTATTTTTAGGAGTGTAGCGCTGATTCTTTCGTGGAAAACATCGTGGCACGCATGTGTACCGGATTAGCGTAATTAAAACATGCAAAAGCACGTATCAGTCAACTTAAGCTCCTAAGTGATAAGATTACCGATTGCCCGATTTAGCAGGGACACATTCCTGCAGGTCTAGCTTAATCTTCGGGATGAACTAATGATTTTAAAGGTTGTTCACTCACAATGACAGCTTGATTGAAGTCTCCCTCAATGTCAGTGGAGAGTGGATTGGAGATGAAGATGCTTCTTGGAATAAACTTTCTACCACAGATTTTAGCCTCACAATATTGCACATCGCTCATTTAGTTGTCGAACTTTGTCGTTCATTTGTACCAGTAGCGTTTCTTGTGTATTGTGGATGTGGGGTTGTGGTTGTCTTGGCAATGTTGAGTTCACACACACATTTCCTGTATCCGCTTGATGGGCTCTCGTGGTGGCTGCAATTCCAATTTAACAAAATGCCTTTTTTTCTTCCTCCAGACAGCAGGATGCCCTTGAATTCTTCACCTACCTCCTGGACGCACTGCACGAAGAAATCAAAGACCGTCCTGATTCGCCCTCTTCGACGGAGCAGCAGTCGTCAAAAACACCGCCCGTTCTGCCAGCCAATCGAAAGAGGCGCCATCGACTGCGGTTTGGCGGGCTCAAAGCCACCACCAGTAGCGTCCAGTTGGCATCCAACGACGCCTTCGATGAATGCCAACTCGCCAGTGCCATGGCCTCTAAACCGCCCTCACCGGTGCTTCCCAAATCAACGAGGAAGTGGTCGTTACGCGTTATTTTACCGAAATACGTCAAGCCCAAGGTGCGGCCCCTCTCCACCGGGTGGATTGACAGGCAGACTCTCGACGCCTGCCGAGCTGCGGTGTAAGTTAAATTTGCATTCACACGTGGGTTTTCATCAAATCGCCAAGGTGATTCTAATGTCCACTTTTGGTGCTTTGTTTGCAGCAATTCCGCCGAAGCAATCGCGGATGAGAAGAGTTTCCTGAAAGGTAAGTGTGTGTGTGTGTTATTGTTCATCTGCTGCTGCTGCTGCTGCTGTTCTAATTCACGTGTCAACGCCAATTTAACGCGTGGCTGCCTTGTAGACACCTTCGTTGGCCACCTCCAGACGCACTTGCAGTGCCTCCAGTGCAACAACGTCTCGAAACATGACGAACTCTTCTGGAATTTGGCCCTTTGTGTTCCCGAGGTAATACGCAACCTCTTCTCCCTTTTTCCGCGATCAATTTTATCGCATGTTTCTGTTCTGGGGTTAAAAACACACTTCATACCTTTAAATAATTCGTAACGCTAAGGATTCTGACTTGAGTATTTCATTATTCGCGGTTGTCGCCACGTGTTGAAATGAAAAGTTCAGTCTTGCGCTGGTGCACTCACTATACCAGCCCGATCTTTGATCGCAGGAAACGCCTTTTTTTCTATTGGGAGAACGCTTAATCCAAACAAAACATTCCAACGGTGTTTAGCACAACCCAGCGGTTTACTAAGAACTAATGGCTCCACTTTAGGCTACACTTAAGCCTAAAGTGTTTTGAGGTCGGCGTTGTTTTCACACACACACACACACACAGTCTGGTAAACAATGTGCAAACTAGCCTGAGTAAGGTGCTCATTTGAGCTGAATCCAGCGCCTTCGCTTCTTAAAACCACGGTAATCGAGTTGAGTCGCCAGAATCCGGCTCTTTGTGACTTTAGGTTCATTCACCCGACAAGGCGGTCCCCAGTGATGCCACCAAGACCACTGCCACCGCTCCTCCCCCCACTCCCGATGCCTCGGTGACCCTCGATGACTGTCTCCGTGCTTTCACGAAAGCCGAAATCCTCGATGGCCTGGATAGACCCGTACGTCTAGCTTTCACAAGTGTTTGCCCACGTTTTCAAGGTTGTTTGTCTCTTGTACTTCGAGTTACGTGTAGCCTTTGATGCCGGGTGTATGGATTGAATGAAATAGTCTCACGAGTGCAACAGAATTTGTTGGAGTTCGGCCTGTCTTAGGGGACCCAGTTTACGTCGGTATGGGGGCACACGTGTACACGTTCCATGTTTTAAATTCAAGCTCTGACTAGGATTAAACATCTACCGGAATATTTGGCATTTGGGCGCTTCGTTCTGCCTCACGGACGCAGTTGTGTCCAGAACATCCCGTGTGGGGCTTGACACGGCTATCTAGTGTGGCACTGCCAATATGAATTTTAATTCTGATTGAATACACGATGGTAATTGTGTAATTTTTAATATTGCTGCTTCAGAACTGCGAACACTGCAAGATGCCAACGAAGGCTCGAATCCAAGCCGTGATCTCAAAGCTGCCCAGGATATTGGTGCTGCGTATCCTTTTCCGGTTCATCACCCAACACACCTAGCCGACGCGTTCTATGCATATATTCATGTCAGTCACCGTAAATGCTGAAAACTGCCGCTGCGTGCGGATTAGTGTTGTTACCTGAAGCCTGAACTAATCTTGTGCCTCGAATGTGTGATGCCGTAGCTTGAGGTGATCGTTCCACGATCTCCGTTCAGCACCACCGCAGGCAGCGCCCTGTTGAACAGTGCTAGAAATGAACAATAATGCGATTCAAATGTTTGCATTTTCAAATTAAAACAAAATGCACGTTCTTTTCCTTAATAATGACTTTGATTAGAATTTCAACGGTTCGACTCCACCTGCTGCAAAACCAAGAAAAAGCACCTAATTAAGTTTGGCTTTGAACAGGACATGGGACCATATTCCATCAACCGTAAGTCGGTTCACCCCCCCTTCCCCATTTTTTGCTTTCTGACGTTTTTTCTCATCATACAATGCCACTGATAAACGGAAATCTTGGTTGTGAAGTGGATTAAAATGCGATCATGGTGTTTTTCTCCAAGTGGAACTTTCCTTTCCAAAGGAATAATTAACTTCCGGACTTCTCACTTTCCGCCTTAATCGTCTCCCACCTCATCCAATCAGAAAGCGGATGGTTTTGAGCTGACGGGATCGGTTCCCACGTGTGTGCCCCGTGGCCCAGCTTCGTTCAAACAGCAACGTGCTCTTTCGATATTGGTGGGATAAATTTTCTTTCGCGCTCGAGGTGTGGTGTCACGGGGCGTAAACTAGAGATGTGATAATCTCGTTAAGCGACAATAAGTGGCTCGTGACACACGGGGAAACGTCTTGTGACTGCCACACCTCACTAGCTCGCCTGCTTCTAGTCAACACATCAAGCAGCCAGAGGAATTTCCTCTTATTCTCCCGCTACTCAAGTCAAACCGTCGGTTTTGGCGTCATTACACCATCAACGTGTTAATTACGCCAAAAAAAACATCACACAATTTAAGTTGTTTTGGTTGTGCAAACGTTCACCTGTGCCACTCGGTAGTTAGTCATTTTGGAAAGGACATCGATTTTTGAATCTCGCTTAAGACCTAGATGCTGTCCGATTTCTCAGTCTGAGACAACCGACAGGGTAAATTAGATAATGTCCAGCGGGAGTGCTTTGTATCTTCGCATCTGGCTGGCGTTGACTGGCGCAAGTGAGCCGTGTGTCTTCCAAACAGCGTTCCAATTGCACGTGAGAAGCCTGGCAACGGTGACGTAGACGCCAAGGCAAAATTAGGGTCAGTTTTGATATCTCCAGGCCACATGACGCCTCTATGGCTCTGCGTGGGCCCCTTCTCACGGCAATTTTGAGCTGATTTTAGAATTTTACATTTCCTACACCCCCTCGCACCGCGGTTGTTGTTTCTTGGTTGGGGTGGGGTGGGGCAGAGGTTGAAATGCCGAAACGCTTGACTCACTGCCGGTGCGTGGGCGAGATTGTTTGTGTGGTGGCAACAGCAGTAAGGCAGAAAATGGGGTCGTTTGCGTCCTGTAGGCATTTTTGTCGTGTTTGGGCTGACTCCTTGCTGTCGGGCGAATCGTTATGCGATCTCGCGCGCTTGCGCGCGTACGGGTTTGCTCGCACTTGACGGGCTGTTCCAACAGTTGGCTCCGCGCCAACCTCCGCTTTCCGACCCATTTGCCTCCGACTTCTGCGCCTGATAAATCTTGTTTTGAGGGGCAGAATTTGTGTCGGTGTGCACAGCATGCTTCTCTGGTTGCTTTCATCGATGTCAAATCGACTGACCTGGCACCACACACACACACACACACACACACACACACACGTGTGCCTTCTTTACCAAGCATCACAACAAGTCGGAGACTTCCCCTTCAAATTCTCACCTGTCAAAACGATTTAACTCTCTAACCAAAAGGGAAGTCGGCGTTTTCCGAGACGCGCGTGTCAACCTGTTTGATGACAACTTCTGGCGGGTGCGGTTATACTACTAGGGGGTGCAGCAGTAGTACTAGTCGGGGCTGCGTTTTGTGAATCAGAGTTTCTTAAGGGTGTGTTTGACATCCCGATTTATTGTGATGACAGGATTGGCGAAATTTATATCCAATTAGACAAGTAGCTTTACCAGTAGAATCATTGCAAATGTACCCAGGTGTTGGCACAAGTCTTCCATGGTGTGTTCGGTTTGGCCGCGTGTCTTAGTCATGCCCTCAGCACGTCGCCTTTAAAGCTGCGACGGCATGTCGGAAATGCAGTGCTTTTCCTACTCGGCCCTACCTCGACGGTCTGGGGAATTGTCCTCACTGCTTTTCAGTGTTGGCGTGATCAGAAAACTGTTAACTTAATGCCCTGAACACATGGGTGTAGTAAGTGGACGCCTTTTAAAGGCTTGCCATAATCAGCTCGACTTCGTGGACCGCACGACGGTCAGGTACTCACAGACACGACCTTCCATCACTTGAAGGCTCAAACGCATCCTACCAGAACAACCTGCTCTCCCACCTAGCCAAGTAGTCAGTAAGTAGGTCATCAAAAGGTAGTTTGGACGCGTGGCGCACACCAGAATATCTATCTGCCAGTGAAATTTACCCATTTCAGCTTGTTATACCGCGTTGGCAGTCTCTTCAAGTGGTGTATTCGCTGAACACTGGAACCAGTGAATGGCGTAATTTGACGCAGTGATTGGTGGAACGCCATTTGCCACCATGTGTTCATAGTCGTCACCAAAGTACAAACCCATCCAGGTCCCAAACGTTTGCGCATTTGGTAGCAAGGCTCGACATTTGACATCAGAGTCGCCGTAAACAAATACATGTTGTCTAGGCTACGTGGTAATTGATTGCTCTACTCAGTATGCTAATCTATGCGTTAGATTGACGCCTTCTTTGTGCGTATCCAGGTAGCTGGAAGTTAATTACCTCCAGTATAACTTGTTAATTACAAGCAGATTCTTTCTTTGCCGTTCAGGTTTCAGTGATGAAGAATCCATCGCCACGACGGCCTCCACCGACGCCTTGGTCACAGCTCAGCCCTCTGGTGACGCCGTCGAAGGGGGTCAGCCGTCTCCCCCGAAACCGGAAATCCGTTTAAGCGACACGAATTACCGCCTCTACAGCGTGGTTTACCATCAAGGCGGAACTGAGCGGGGTCACTATACGGCCCGATGTCGACTGTCGACCCCTCCGCATGATGGCTGGTTCTTTTTTGATGACGAAAAGTAGGTACTTTGGCGACTTGCAGAGTCGTTGACCAAAAATGCTACCAGCCTAGCACGAAATACAGTAGTAGGCTCACTAGAAGTAACCGATTCGGACTACTTTGCCTCGGGCATTTGTTTAAATGTGTGGTTAATTGCCCCTTGTGTGCGCGGGCGCGCGTAGGTCGACTTGTGTTATTGGCGGAGGGTGTTGCAAACGCCTTTCTTGGCACCGTTCTGGGTCGGCGAAGGGGCGCGGTGACTGATAACGTGTGTGCGCGCGCGCGCTCGACGCCATGCATATGCGCTCGCTCGCTCGCTCGCACACACGCACGCACTTTTCGTTTTATCTAAGCATATTAGGCAAGGTCCGGGTGTGTGTGTATTTGCTGCATTGTTATATGTGCCAAGATGCAACGTGTGACAGATGCTTGCACCACACACACACCCCCTTCCGTTGCAGAAAACACGCCACCTTGAAGGACATCCTTATTGGCACTGGTCTTTACCCCCTTGCATCACACCCTGGCCAGACTCGCTTAAAAAAGCGCCGTTTTCTTGGCTAACCTCTGACCTCCAATAGGTCACCTTGTATGCAGCCGTTCGGTGCTGTGATTGGTTGAAGCCGCAGTTGAGGCTTCAGATCTGTGATTGACAAAACTCGATGTGAATCCTAAGGGCTAATTTACTTCCGTTCAAAAAACATGTTTCGCTGTGTGTGTGTGTGTGGTTTTAATGTGCGAATCGCACGTAAAACAACATGCGTCACACAGGGAGTGACCGTTTGTTTATATTCCGGCAATATATTCTCCCCGTAGTCGCGGTGTGCGTGGAAAATTTCCACGGTCAGTAATTGCCTGTACTGTTGTGCCAGGGTGACGTTGCAAGTCCTGCGCACGCCTCGGTAACATCGCTTTTGGTGTCGACGCCGAGTTACCAGAATTCACGTGATGCTCCATTCGTGGCACCTGTGTTTCGCTTAGGCTGCCTCGTGGCGTGTAGTCTGTGCTTACATTGACGGCTTTTTGAATTCATTAGTCCAAATTGATGGTAATTGCAGTTTCAATTTCCTCCTAGTGTATCCCGTGTTGCCGATGCAAATGACGTCATCCAACCTACAGCATACATCCTGTTCTACGAGCGAATACTTGAAAATGAGGTGAGTGCGATCAACCTTGGTGGGTGTTTCGCTGCCAGAGCTGTTTGTTGATAGGACTTCGCTCAGCACACACACACACACACCCACTCCCACCTGCCTGATGTTTGCTGACGAGATTAGAACTTGAGGGGGTTTCTAGTGAGAGCGCGATTCGTGGCCATGGTAACGCTTCCTTTTACTCCTATTGGTCGATATCTCTGTCTAGTTGGCACAGCACAAATTGCCCTCAACTTCTACCGGTTAGAAGAACCTCCAAAGCCACCATCCCCTACTCTCCAAGTTGTTCCACGCGCAATGTAACGCTACAGTCAGAAATGCGACAGAATAATGCGGGTACCCATGTCATTCACTAACGATTTGCCGTGAGGTGGGCGTCTTTACGCTTGCCAAAAGCCTAAGACGCTCTAGCTCACCTGTTTAGGGCTGAAATTTCGTCTCTCTTGAGCTACTCGCCTCGATCTGAATCAGGAGTGGCTGGTAGATGCCTGGATTTGCTGTGTACAAATTCATTTAAATTTTACACCTATGCAGATCGTAGAAATGAGTGTTTAGAAAAAAAGAAGGTAACTAACGTGCATTTGCATTGCTAAATATTGTTTTTTTGTGCATAACTTTGTGGTAAAATGAGGCAGGCATTGCCGTTCTGTGAGTGTTTTTACCTGCTTTTCGAATGGGTTGCGAATACTGATGAAATTAGCGATTTGTAAACATGTCAACACAGTCAAATATGGGTAGATTCTGGAGCTCTTTTTTGTATTTGACCAACATTGGGTTAAAATTTGAGAAAAACCACGTTTAACTCTTGCCTGGACTCGAACAGTGTACCTTGCGTGCAATCGGCAATTCTCCTTCGGACGCCATAGCGTCTAGAGGTGCAATCGTCAGAGGAATTAGGAATTAACAAAGTCATGTGATCTGCGTCTTAGCTATTTGCTTCTTCTTAATTTAAGAAACGTTATCACGAACCAAAAAATGGGTTTTATAACACATTGGGTTCCACATTTCGCTCAAACCTTAGATCTTACGACCCCAAATGATCACGGGGAGATCCCGAGTACCTTCTACAACAGTCATGCAAGGCTTGAACCCCAGCCGAAACACTGGTTACCCAAAACCACATCAAAAGTGCATTCTGCAGCCTCGTTCAACTTGGATGTCTGCTGTTTTAGGTGGAGTGCTCCAGCCCAACTTCGAGTCCCGCCAAGGATTCGGCCAAATCTGCCTGCGAAGACGTCGACTCGTCCCAGGATGTCGTCATATGGGAAAGTGTAGTCTGACGTCCCTCGCCCCTTTCCCCCAGTCTGTCAGGAGGGAATCATTGCAGATTGATTGAATATTTTTTTTTGTATGAACCTAGGACTCAGATTGGATGTGTGTATTTTGCTATCTTGTTTGACGCATAGGCTGCCCTCATTGTTTGTGACGCCTTTTCTTTACCAGTAAGTACACACCACACGCATTATTTTAACAAAATCCCCTATTTCGAACAACCGGGTCTCGTTGGCTGACTTTTGGCTGGTCCGTCCAGAGCATTCTTAGACGGAGCTGTCGTCGGGTGTAGGTTAGGGCAGGCCATAGGACTACTTCCGCACTATCTTTGTTGGATTTCGGATTTGAAATCCATCCAAGCATTATTCTGATTGGCTGTTCTCCCCTGAAACGGTTATGAGTGATCGTCATATATATCTGCTAATATCAGCAGCCTAACCGCGCATCTACTAAACGCGTCGACACACGGAACACAAGAGGTGCAAAGTACTTCGTCAGTTTCGTGTTAGAGGAGAAAGACTGTAAAATCGTGTTCACTGACTCACTAACCAAATTAAGAGCTGCCCTCGACCAAAATGCTGCCGGGGTGACGAGCAAGATCAAATACCACCACCACCAACCCGCGATGGCATGTAACGTAGTACCCACCGCAAACGCAAACTCAAGCCACATTACGGAAGTTGGCGACCCGTTGTAGCGCAAACAACTCGTTTGGTGGAGCACAGGTGCGTAGATTGCTTAGTTGAAAGTGTGCGTAATCACATTTCGCAACGTGTGTCTGCCAAGCTGTTGTTAGTTCTCACGACGCGCCTCCACAGTCCAGTCTATTAATCACGGGAAGTCAATCGTGTCACGCTTATCGGCCCCTTCACGGCTGAAGACTAGCGATTGACAGCAGTGGTTACGTGTTCATTGGCGCGCCGCGCTGTCGATCTGACAAAGCCGAAAGTCGCTCACGTGACATCTGTCAGCGCGCCGGTTGACGAAGTCGTGAGTCGTGCCACCGTCACACAAACGTGTTCATTGGCTGGTAGCATTGTCGTCACGGTTCTGTCACATGGTGATTTATTTCTTTTACTTGATGGATTGTCAATAACACTAATTGAACTGCGACAGACCAGCAGCGTGCAATAATCAAATCAGACGTTCCCGTTTCCAGATTGCTTGAAAGTCTACTAAAAACAAGGATGACGATGGGCGCAGGCCTAGTTTGGCACGACGCGTTGATGCTTTTGTCAGCAACATGACCTGTCTAGCAAGTTGACGTTGATTTATGGTAGTACCTAGCACCTAGATTAACCTGGCAATAAGTAATCGATAAAAAGCGTTTGCCTTTAAATCAGCCAATGAGAATTCTTGTCCCGAGCTCACAACGCATCGAACATGATTCCTCCAAAAGCCCTTTTTATGTGTGAACATCTTTACAAGCCCCCTTGATCACCACATGCATCGGCCTTTTACCTTGGTGCGAATGCCATTAGACGTAGGGATCAGGATTTGTCAACTTCGTTCAGTGTCGGGCTGGCTGCGTGCCTAGGGACAGATAGCGTGGTCACACAATTGCAAAGCTTTCACTCATTTAATAGTGCATGAGGATTCGTCTAAAAATTAAGTAAAGTAGGCTGGCACCCAAGAATACCCTCCGTAAATCTCGAAGCTGGTTTTAAAAGTGGACTAACAACGAGTACTCGCGGATTTGGCGCATGCCCAGCAACGCCATGACATGCAAATCGCCTTGGATTTAGTGCTCTCAAGAACGCATTCTTGAAGAACACTCGTTCCGTGGACAGTACCAAGATCAAGATACTTAAGTCACAACCGCAGATTCAACTGGCTAGGTAATTTCTGGTTTAAGGGAAATTGGCCAATCAGAGGCAGCCGATACCAGTTAATTGTTTGTTTAAACCCAACTCACGACAAATGTAGCTTCCGATTTTTAAAGTTTGCTTCAAGGGACTTTCATCAGTTCTTCTTTACATTTCCAATTAATTGATCAAATCAGTCCTGGTTTGGAAAAGAACTTGGAAGCTGTCGAGACCAATAAAAAAAAGGTGCGAATTGAAAGGTTTTATGAGCTGTACGGAACTTTACAATCATGGATTGGTTTAGAGGTTACTGGCCACCGAAAACCTGAGCCATAATTAGAATCACAGAAATGCTACAGACATTGGCAGTCTGTGGGTATTTTTTTTTCTGTAGTGAATGCTGATGAAATAGACGGTTACTGGCGTGCTGGCAGAACTCACGAGAACGACTCGCGTCTTTTTCTGGTCAATGAACACGTAACCATAGGTTTCAATCAGATTCTAGACACTCTGAGCAACAGAGATCGATGCGATTATCACGTAGATTGGTCGGACAAGGTCCTGATGTCGAATCGTGATAAACCAGCACTGATTTTGTTCAAAAGGCCATATTGTCAACATGACGTGATGGCAACGGTGGCGCGTACTTTGAGCTAGTATCAAGAACCAAGTAATCAAGTTGGCTCAGGAAGTAATCGGAGAAATTGACCACTGGAGAAGTATATTTCGGTTAACCAATTGAAATCGCACTGACTTTTGCGCCATTATCAGACATGCCGTAAAAACCGAAGGTCGTGGACGTGGCAGTATCATCCAGAGCAACTGGAATCGATGAAAACGGGAAGGTCACTAGCAATTGAAATGCATTCCTGGAAGGAATGTTTGGGTCTTCCTCATCAAGACCCTCGCGTCTACATTATTCACGCGCATCTAACCCTGTTTACCAAGTAGATTGCGTGTGTGAAAGTGGATAGAAGTAGCCAAGATACCAAAGTGATTGTGGAAGTGCATGTATTCGGGTTCGAATTCAGGCTACAGAGTTCTGACCTCCCTCAAAAGCCAGTCGATTTTGGCACAATTTTTCACTGTCTTTCGCCCTAACAATGCTATTTAACACACAAAATCTTTTGCAAATTGCACCAGAGAAGTACTTCAAGCGTACTTGCCGGTGAACTGAGGGTTAAAGCCACGAAGGCCGACCTAAACTAAGAACTAGTGCATCAACATGAAAAAAACATGGCTTCCACGATAACTGATATGCGTGCATTTTACGATAACTAATCAAACTACTGGCCGAACTCGAGGCAGGAAAGTTTGAGCAAGGCAACATCTATCTTGTCATTGATCTACGTATCCTCAAACGCACGTTTATTCGCATCACTGAAGCAAATTTAACCTTGCTTAACTGAGCAGAGCTTGTTGATAACTGATCACTTGGTTAGTGGCATTCTCCGCCAGGTCAGGTTAGTATGTTTCGTGGTCAAATTTATCTGTTAGTACTTGTTATTTCTAGTCCTAGCTTTGTCGGTTGTTCGGTGTGAATGACTATTTTTTTTTCTAATGAAAAGCCCGGCATTCAAGTCTGTTAAATCGTTGAAAAATTTAGCGTCAATTGCCTTTTTAATTGGGTTGACGAACGCGCCAGTTGAGTTTACGATCAATTCAGTTTATGTTTTAATTTGCAGCAAGTTCTTTCACGCTTAAAAATGCTGGTAATTTAGAAAAAAACCGGTCACAACTATGCTAAATGAAGGTCACCAAAAGCGCTCACCTTGTCTTAGCCAATTAAATTGAAGTGTTTAGCGGGACAATGGCTGCTACAGTACACAGCAGAGCCGCAAGTTATAGATTAAAAGACGCAAGTTGTAGTGTATGTAATTCACATTATGGTACTGCAACTTGCCTTAAATTGACTTGAATGAGAGTGATTGACAATGAAGTAGGGCTGTCAGTTGATTTAGTCAAAATCACACGGTCGAACACCGGAGAAAAAAAATGAAATTTTACTGTCAACCTGCCGTTTAGTGTGCCAATCACATGCAGTATCGCATTGTACACGCAAGTTGATTAATACTTGACTGCTCTAGAGTGCTTGTGTCAGTTGTTGATTGCCCATTTCAAATTGTGAGTTTCACTCACGAAATCAGCCTCCTTCCCCTCAGCTTGTGTTGACGCGTTTCGGGTGAATCAAGCAACCAAAAAACCGGCGTAACTTCAAAGGTATGTAGCAAACTGCTTTAACTGGGGTTACCATAAATTACTCGTCAAAATTGTTATGCTCAGATCTTGTAGGTGGAAGTTAGCAGGGCATTTACGCTATCACAGGTAACCGTGATTTGGCGGAATGTGCTAAGTCGGCCACGTATAATTTCTGACAACTAAGCTCGACTTGGCGATTGCGTCTACAACTGCTCCTGTGAAAAAAAAGCCAAACTCTAGAATAGACAGTCTGAAACATCGGACATTTCAGACGCCAGCCAGTCTTGGAGGAGTAGTCCATAATTTGATTGACCCCTCCCTGGTTACATTTGGTGATTCTCGTAAAAGTAACCATGGGAATTGATTTGATGGGACCACGTGGATGTCTCTGCACTGTAATGTGGCGAATGAAATAGAGACAAAATCTGTGGTTCGGGTAGTTGCCAAAGTAAGCCACTATTTTTCACTTCTAGGGATGAGTAAACATCGTTTGATGAAACTGTCAATAAGGCAAAAATTCCACCACACCCTGAGCACAGTCAACCAGCTTTTATGATCAATTTACAGGGTATATTCGATTCCAGGGCTTAAATTACCAGGTAAACAAGTGCTTTCCAGCAACTTCCTTGCAGAAACAGATGCGTTATTAAAAAAAAACGATCGATGTCAGTTAACACAGTTGAAACCTAGGGGTGCAGTTTTTTTCTCCTTGACAAATACTAGTCTTGGCCACCAGAGGAGTCCAGAACGCCACTGTGGGTGTGACAAGTTGACCAACCGTTTTCAGGGCTTGGTGTAATTGGACATCACTGAGTAGTGCTTCCCCCATACAACCATATATTGACCTTCGTTTGAACATTATCACGGTCTGTTGGCTTCAACTGCACTTTTATTTGCCACTTCAGCTCATATTTGCGACTTCTCTTTCGACATCAGCCCGTGGAACTGAAAGCATAGTCTTCTTACATGTGGTGTTCAGGAAAAAGAGGGTTTGTGAATAATTGACTCTTTGTTTGATCATCTAAGAAGGCAGAATTCATTGTGATTTGGTATTCTGTGAAACGCCGAAGAGAGTTTATTGCTGAGGCAGCAGAATATTACTAGGAGGTGTACCGAAGCTCACTGGAAGATGCTCGAACACTGTGGTTGAACAGTTCAACTACCTCTTCAGGGAAATCTGCTCGGAAATGGTATCTACGTTGGCAGGAGATGGAAGCTGAATGCAACACCTGGAAATCCATTACACCTCAACGAGGATAGATGTGTGAGTGGCGATGCCGTCTTCTAGATGTGGAGTGGATAGATTTTTGGAATGTGTCGCGGCGGGGCGCCGATGTTGGATGCTTCCGCATGCACGAGCAAGGAACACCAGCGTTGATTCCTATCTCTGAACAAGAATCAGGCTCAAATGTTACCAACACATTGGGACAAGTGATGGACTGAATGTCGGCCACAACCACAAAACCATCGTCAGTCAGGAGGTACTGCACGTTATCCCATTTAGGGCTGCATTCACCCAGGAAGTCGAAGGAAGCTTTACACGATATTAAGGTTTACGCGACTGCACACAGGTGAACAGTAGACAAAAAAAGCATTACAAAGCTACTTATGGCAGAAATATGCTAATCGGCGTGGCGGGGTTGAAAGTTCACATGTGTCGGATTTTGACGCGCGTCTGCGATAATCCACCAGCAAACCAGCTTGACCAAGTGACCTGCGTGCCGACAACGCGAACGCAGAATCACCGGATGCTGCGTGATCAACCATTTTAACGATCTAAATTAACTACTTCCCGGTGTCTGGGTCTTTTTAAATTACATTTGTCAAAAACTATTGTCAAATTTGCACACAAGGTGGCGCTTTTGTCTTGCGATCTCACAATTGTGCCAGCTTGGTTCGATACTTGACTTTAACTAGCACTGGACTCTCTTGATAGCTCTCACACACACACCTTTTAGATAAGTTGGCTGACTGGGGCGAGTTTAATTCTTTTTTTTTTCAAAAAAAAAACATTTTCCGTGGTGACATTCCCAAAATGTGCTACTGTTGGTAAAGAAATAGTCGTTCAATCTGAACAAATTTTGCTTACTAAATCGCGTGCGTCTGTTCAATTTTAACGACATGTGGTGTAATTTTCAGTTAAATGTGATAATTAGGCGCACGTCCAGTACTGCACAGGCATATTTAAACGTTTTAAGTGCTGTGTGGGCGAGGGATGGTCGGGGCGATTTCTGGTGTCCTATAAACATCTCTGTGTTATATGAAGTTACCGACACACCAGTGAAATGCAGAACTGGAAAACCCTCTATTAATGCGAAATGGCACCAACGGTGTGGCAATACTGTGCCCCACGAAGGGAATTTTGAAAATCAACTGGCTACTTATGGGAATTAGGCCTTATTAATTAATGACGAGATCGCGGTGGTCTGGCAATCGAACAGACTTGCAAAGGTGCTAGTCAGGCGTTCCGAACAATGCGACTTGACTTTCCGGTTAAATGTCCACAGGCGACATGGTAGAATTGGCATTACTACCAAGTATTTTGTCATAGCAACGAAATCTCAAAAAGAAGTGAACGTGGCGCCTGAATGCAATGACTGCGGACTCGGATCTGGGCATTCCGTTCTGTAATTATCCTGATGTGATCGTGCCATGCGCGGTAAGTTGACGCACAAGCTAACCACCAGTCGTTTGAATGAATTCGTCAGTGATAGGGATCAGCGTCGTCGCTGCGAAACGATCTACAGACGAGCTTTTGACAATTGTGCACAAGATCGTCGTGGTTTACTTTGATATGTTCATCTCCAAACATAAGACGATCATGATTGTACATGCGGCACCAAAATTCAGGATTCAAGCCTCGTCAACCAATGAACTTTGGCACACCCAGCAGTGATAATGTACTGTCTTAGCAACCAATCATCTACAACTTTTGCCACAAGGCATCACGTCACAGTGAAGTCCTTCGAATGGATCGTGACAATGGAAGGTTTGCCGTCAGTTCTACAAGCTGCTGTGGAAGGAGATGTCGTGAGGCTGGGCTCAAGTGGAAGCATCAAATACCCTCCGCACTTGCAGAAGGCTTTTTCATAAGTTAGGGAACATTTTGTTTAATTACAACCCTTTGTGCGTTGCTTCAGGTCGTAACAATTAATTGCGACTATACGAATCGGTTTGAATAATTTCGAGTGTGCCACGCATTTGCATTTCATGCAAAGGCCTACCACGGACACCCATTAAGAAGCACCTTCCTCCCAAGCTCTGATTGCACGTATGAATACATTGAGGGCAGACCTTGGAAGCTGTCCAATTAGGAGGACGCTATCACCAGGCTTCAAAACGAAAACATTGACTACCTACAAAGACTCTGGCCTTAATTAACGGTTGTGGAAGAGAACGTCGCCCACTAGGTTCTAATTGAACGATGTAGGGTCACCATTTTCCGGACTAGGTACTTTCATTGACCTTGACAACCGTCCAATCAGGGAGCAGCCGCTCCGACCTTGAGAAAATTCTGCCTAAACTAGCCAATCAGAAACACGTGACACGCAACGTAACTACGGGACCCTGAACATCGGCTGTGAGATCACGCTGCTGATTTACCAACACCTGAAGCACTCGTACACACAAATACTGATAGCGGAAGTGCTGTGACGATTTTGTCAAGAGATTTGCCAAAACCCTACCCACGCCACCCCAAGTTTAACTGCTTTGTGTGGATTTGTACAGCCATAACGCACTTTAACGGGCCTGACCTAGATACTTAAACCACACACGCACACACAGCAAAACAATTCAGTTTTGTATTCGTACGAATCTGGGCGTCCACATGCTCGTTTTGTACAAAAATTGACGTGAAACCATACAGGAGGAAGAACGGAAAGAAATTACACACAGCCGAGTCGTTGAGCCCGCATTGCAACAAAAAGGAGACGGTTGAAAAAAAATGGAGGAAAGACGGATTAACTAATCGAAAAAAACGGTTCCACTGTCTCGATTAAGAGGTCAAGGGAGACGCAGTGGGTTAAATTTTGCGCAGTTTTTCACTCGTCACGGTTGGATTGGCCTTTCGCAGGCGCTCGCGACCATCTGCCTGGTAGTCGAAGGTGCATTCGTGGCGATCGGTGTAGCGATGGTAATTGCAGAAGTTGCCGCCACAAGCACAGACAATGCCTTGCTCTACAGCGAGGGGAAATTAACGTCAGCTTCGTGTCGAGATATAAAACAATGCCACAAAGTGTGTCAAACTCACCAATCAGGCCCAGCTTCTTGTTGCAAACACCGCAACGGATGCAAGGAGGAGCTAAAAAGTAAAAACACGTTGCTACTAACAATAAATAAGTACACCGTACATTAAAAGCAGTGATAAACGTAGAGACGATCTGGATCAAGTAATGGCACTTGTACGCCAACGGCACCATCTTCGCCAATGGCCGGAGTTCACGTGAGCAGAAAGAAAGCCATAACCCAAGTTGTATTTTAACGATCCTTTAATTCACTAGGCCTCAAAATATCAAAACGATGCACTCGAAAATAAAGCCATGGAACAGCACAATTGATATCTGACACCATAACAGATCGAAATAATGCACATATTGTTGGAAAATAGTGTCTTAAAACCAAATACATGACTTTTTTCAATGCCAGAGAATGGTAGCCATGAATGGACATCTAAACATGCCTCACGATTAGGCAGTAAACTTAGCTACTCAGTGCTAAGGAGATTAGCTGTTGAGAAACTATCAGCAAGCAGAAGAACAAACGAAAAATGAGTCTTATTCACATAAAATCCAGCAAAATTTAAGCATGATGGAAAATATTTAACCGTCACATTGTTAATTGCATGCTTTGTAAACAATCTGGAGAAGTTAATAACTCAACTTGCGTAGAGATGACATTCAAATTGAATTTAGACGGGAGACTGTATTATAAGGCTTGCAAAATGTAGTTCGTGGAAGCAAAATGAGAGAAAATTCATTTGGCAGTTGATTAGGAGAATAGAGATAAATTAAACAGTTTGTAGGGGACCATCAACGATCACGCCCGAGTGAAGCTCATTTAGTGACCTGATGGTGGCAATGACTCATGGCCATTTCATTGGTTACGACTATCTGTCGCCTATAATCAGCACATTCATCCTCACACGAAAACACACTTGGGTGGCGCGAGGCTAATAAACGCTCGAATCCGGGGTCACCTCTCCTCTCTCTATTCTCGGCTTAACAAGACTGCTAACACGGGTTTGAAAAGCTAAAAAAGCCATCACAATTTCACAACAACATAACAGATTTGGCGCAGGCATTGCCGAAGCTCTGAAAAGTTTTGTCTCGAATAAGTTGAAATTATTGGATCCATGTAGTCGAATCATGATGCTGGCTTACAAGACTAATACTAACTGTCAGGCTTGAAAATCACAAATTTAATGTTTAATGTGGTAAGCATTAAACGAATAAATGACACAAAAAAGAAGGCCACATCAACATTATGATAGCATCTGCATAAAGCAAGCAGATAATATGAAAATAAAATTTGAATTCATGGTAAAAACGTACATGGACTTCGCCTTTCGACCGCGCCTGATGATTTAGAAGGTGCTTCATCAAGTGACGGACCTTCGGCTTGACTGCTAGGCGGATTTAAATTAGCGGCATCTATAAAAAGCATATATACAGCAAAAATAATGGAAGGGATTCTCGTTTACGCGTGATTCGCAATTACTTGAAAACGTATAAAACATTCCACTAGAACAGGCAAGTTAAGATGGTGCTAAAAGACAAAAGAGGATAACTTAACATTAAGCAAATAGCCAAAAGCTTAACTAGGAGACCACTGATATATATAAAATAAAAAAGTTATGGATTCGTGAAAAGCGAATGTCGTTCCGGTTTTATGCTTAATTAGTTAAATCATTCGTTTCAATAAAAGTCATAAAAGCAAAAAATAAATCGATATCATGACGTAAGACTCGTCGTACCTGCAGATGTTTGCGGTTCTGGTTTTGAGGGCTGAGGGTTTGTTCCAATAATTGCTTTGTAGCACGACGAGCAATATCCCTGATTCTCCAAGGCTCCATAAAATCCACATCCATTCTTGCACAACAAGTTATTGTGGCAGTTACTTTCAAGCGTTCTTCCCAAAGTCATTCTAGATGAGACAGACCACAGACCGACGCCCGCCACGACCAACGATTAAGTAGATTCGTACCACCCGCTGTTAGCAAGAGGTTGAACACAAGGAGTTTTCTGCTGTTATAAACGAAGTCAAAACATTACGAAATATGTTTATTTATTATTTTACAACAACAGTAATTAGAGTAACAATAATCTAATTACACAAATTTTTACAAATTTTCCAAAGAAAAAAAGAAATTGTTTTACCAAGCTACATAAGATAACTACCACTAGGCAAATTACAAACATCGGTTGATGGGATTTAAAAGTTGCGCTGATGTCAATGAACCGGAACGGTTAATGAATCAAAAGCAATTATTTGTGTCGAACCCAGGCTTAATAGGTTTGGGAAGCAAAAAACATTTGGAGGGTTACTTAAAACGAGAAAAAAACTAACACGAACAGGCGCTCATAATTTTATAGAACTGAAAGTAACATAATCAGTCTCAATTAATAATTGCAAGAGGCAGAGTTAGTGCGCAAATCCGAGCTTAACATGTACAGGAAAAAACTCTTGTGAATAAAAGAATGATTGAAAATCCGATTTTTTATTTAAATAAGAGCCTTCTTGATTTGCCTTAACTTTGCATATCTATTGCGTGATTAATATTATCAGGCTTTAAAAATACAAACCAGTTCTAATGCATTATATATTGTATTTGCTTACATCTAAAACATTAGTGAAATATATATTACATGTAATTTTCCTGTTTCTCACAGAAAAAAATTAAACTTTCTTTAAAAGTTATGAAAACCTTTGCCGTATAACTGACATTTATTTAATACCTTACTTCTTAAGAATGAAGAAAACGCTTTAATAAACTTAAAACTGAATAATTCATATTCAGTAACTCGAAAATATCCGATTAATTTTTGCACAAATGTAAGAGCTGTAAAAATACTTAACTTTCTCTAGTGTGCAACTAGCTAACTTAATATAGATCAGTACAGGACTTTTGAATACATTATTAAGTAATTTCGCAATTAAATCATAGATTGTTAGTGCATTGAATTTAATCTAATTTTCAGGTGTGTACGGCATTTATTAACAAAAATAAACTTTGTAGAATTCAAGGGTTATAATTTCTCTTACAAGTCCATAGAGTGTTCTCTGCCTCAGAAATATGCCGTCGGAATCTAAATTTCTGTAGAATATGCGGCAGCATTTTTAGTATATAAAATTAAATATTACACTTTATTTGAAGCAGGCTCATTTTTATTATCGTAGAATACTTTTTATTGGTGTCTGACTTTTAAAATAATTTATTTTCAAGGAATATAAATACAATTTTTGCTCAGTTAACACACATAAATGTCCTACTTTACTAAATACTGCTAACACAACTAAAACTAATTTTTAATTAAAAATGTAAAGCTGCTACCTTCAAATCCCTGCAATACCAATAACCACAATACGTCTACTCGAAAATTCACTAAAACCCTCCATTGTAAATCACAAATATGCCAGTGATGTTCCTAATTGTTAATATTATGACTTTTATGATATATCGAATCGGATATGAACTGAAGCATTTACCCATTACAACCGACGTTTTCAGATGTTGGGGCGACAAATGGTATATTTGGAAGGAAATGAAAAGACAATACGACCGGAGCGTATAAAATCATATTATGTAAACTATAGTATAGTCGTGTGAAAGCAATTATAAGCATCCTAAATAAGAAAAAAAAATTTTTTAGTTAGGCCGTGGCGACGTCAGTTGGCATCGGATTTAATTAAAATCAAAATTCGAAAGGTTTCGAACACAAATCATTTTCTGCATTTCATTGGAAAATTTTCTTTTTTACCTACATATTTAGATATGATTTAACGTAAGCCGTTAGTTTTTCAAAACTTTTTCATAAATTAGAAATTGCATAAAATTTTCTTTTCGCTGATATTGATGATTCGCGAGCAGGAGTGTCAGTTTTTCTGCGAAAGACAAAATCGTTGGGATGTGTGTAAGTAGGGGTGGCTTGTCCCTTGGGCAATTAACAAGTGCTCTTTGTTACAGTTAATCGGTATGCTTGTCTATACTTTTGATTCGGAAAGAAAAGTAAGTTTTTTTTGTGTTAAAACTGCGAGATTAATTTTAGCATCCATGGATCATTGCTATACTTCTCTTGTCTTCGTTTTCTCGGGCCAAAGCCGCTTCCCTGGATGCAAATGAACTTTCAAACAGCCAGTGCGATATACGGTTTTTGTTACATAATTGTTTTGTCATGTTTGGTATTAGTTTCTTTCAATATTCCTAAATATATGAAGGGTTATTCACCAAATGATGCTACAAGTATTTTAATTACCAAAGATTTTGTGAATTCTAGCTTGTAAACGGCTTAAATCGGTCACTTTTAGGCTTCTGTTTGATTTTAGGTGTTTAGTTCATGCGGGTAATAAATCTGGACAGCGTTTGTAATACGCGACCGACCTCAGTCATAACTGTCGCTTTATATTTCATCCAGAATAAATGCTCTAATTTTTAAATATAAAAACGTCTTGGGCCTCTGCTGGTATGACTGTAGTCATGCACGTGTTCCAACTTGTGAATTTCGGCGGGATTATTTTATTGAGATTTGTTAAGCTTTAGTACCTTGTTTGTGTTTCGTGTAGATTGCTGTTTGCTGCCATCGTTATCTGGGGCATATTGGGCTTTTGATCTTTCTTACATTGATATAATCTTTTTCGGAAGGGTACATAATTTATTATCCCATTTTTATCGTTACTTTTCAGAGAGCGTAGGCATTCACTCTAGTAGATGTGTTTGTGTTATTCTCTTTAGTGACAATTGTACAGTTACTCTTTCACGCAAATGCAAGCGAATTGAGCCAGGCTTGAAGCAAGATTGTTTAGGAACACCTTTGCCCTACGCGCTCACTTCTGACGGTCCTGTTTTCGACGATGTCTCCCAATTCGATCTGCAGACGTGGACCACTATGAAAGCTGTGCCGATGTGCTGGGACAAGCTCCACGTGAGTCCCGATTTTGTCTATTTTACAAATTATCTCCTTCCTTGTGATCGTTAGTGTGAAGTAGATTTCCCTAATAGCTACAAGTGATCTTAAAGTTCAAAACAATGTTTTCTTAAATCCAGTTTGAAATTGGTTTCAAAGCGAAGTAAAAGTGGCCTCCGTATCCCTTCTTCGACACCAAATTCTTTTGACAGTATTCCTCAGGATATTCTTTTTAAAACATTATTTGGCTTAATGAAGTTAATTGTGGCGCCACCTAATTCCATTAATGTGGATATTTATTGGCTTGTTGCACTCGTCCTGGTTGAATCTTTTCACATTTCACAAATTTTGGATCCCACAGAAAGCGACCCTTTTTGAACTAGGTAAATTCGAAATTTCATTTCTTAAATGTTATTGGGGCCAGTATTTTCCCAAAGATGCTGACATATCTTTCTTCCAAATTGCCCGGGGTCAATCCAGTGGTTGGAGGGAGTGCCTTTTTAATCTCCTGTTTAGTTGATGAAAAATCAGTGCAGGTGATTACCCTGTAGCTCATCCCAAACTACTTCGTTGTATTTATGCGAATTTGCAGCAGAAAGATGCTCCACATTGGCATGCGGGCGTGTATGCATCCGTTTTGGACTGCTTCTGCTCTGCTATCAAAACGCATTACTCTCAGTCGACGTTAGCATAAGAATCAAGAGACTGCAAAATTGCCTTTTTAATCATTTTGTTTTAATTGGCGGAGAATCGGCGTAATTACGGTCAGATTTAATGGCCAGTTGTGAGGTCACACTACCGCAGGCACTCGCGTCGTTGATAATTGCACTCTAGCCCAAAGTGTGCTATTCCAAGAATTTGCAGCAGAATGAGACGCCTCAGTGGCTTTGGTGCGCCTACATGCGTGTTTGCGCGCATTCGGACAGCTGTTGCCACGGCCACAACAGCTTCTCCACGTGCACTCCTGTTCGTCCATGAGAAACACATACACTGTATGTGTGTGTGCGTGTGTTTACACAGCCAGCTACCTGGGTGGTCAACCCGTCTCCCATTTGCGCGCATCTGTTTAAACGGGAACGCCTTTTGCTCCTGTGCTTCGACCAAATGACGCACCGAAATTCCTGCCTTGTTACACACTTCCTCTTCCGTTACACACACCCTCGTCCATCGTCTCCATTCGCGAGTTGATGGTTGCAGTACTTAATCGTTTGCTTGATCTTCTATGTGCGTGTCATTCCGACCAAGTGATACCAAATATTAGTTTAAATTTAGTAGAAGCTGGTCGATTGTGTCTGTTACAGCTGCTCGCGACGCCAACCTAACTCTTGTTTAATTACAAATTAGCCATCAGGTACCAGCCGTGAGCGTGTTAACGGAGCAAATCGCAGGCAGAATTCGCACGCTGCATAAATTTACAGACACTTAGCACTGTCGAGACACCTTGTCCCCCCTCCGTGGTGGCGGGTGATCGCCAATTATGCGTGCATTCCAAACGGGGGCTATCACGAAAAGTCGTGTCCCTTTACTGATGACAGCGACTACGCACCACACATGCCTCTGCTACCACGACGTGTGCGTATGAATCGCCGAGGCGTGAGTCATCAAAGCGTTGTTTGTCGATTCTGGTCATTCTTCACCGACTTGGGTTAGACTGCCGAAAAGGCCAGGGCTAGTTCAGAGTGGTGTGACGGTTATGTGTGCATTCCTAGCGCCTCCAGCTTAGCTCTTGAGGTCCACTAGCCTCGCTAGTTATGCTGTTTCGAGTTTCCGTACATCCAAAACTGTTTTTGTGTAGATCTTCCTCTGCATGGTGTACGTGCCGGAATGCCAAGAGCAGCGGCCGGCGGCGCCCAACGCCCAGGCCACGACGACGCACTCGCGAATCGTGCTGCCCGAGCGCGAGATGTGTCTCGCCGTCCTCAAGGCCTGTCCGCTTCTCTTCTCCGGCGAGGAGGGTGTCGGTGGGAGGGGTCTGCTGGGTGACACCATCCCGCGATTCTTTCAATGCCAAAATTACGCTTCTGTTTGTCGACAGGTAGGGCGACGGGCTGCCTCGGCCTCCACCGACTCTTGTCCGCGTTATCTAACCCCCAATTTCCCTCTTTTTTTAACGTCAGAACAAATTGCGGCCGAAAATCTTTGACGTCAACAAAGCCCAATGCCAGGCGCCTCTTGTGTCTACCACAAATCGTCGAAATTGGTGAGCCGCGCGCGTGTCTCTTGGCTTCTCCTGGCGACGTGGCGATTCGCACTTTTGTTTGTTGTTTTTCCCTACAGGATTAAGGGTGTTGAGACGTGCGCGTTCCCGTGTCACAGCCCTATCTACCGCCCAGAACACTACGCGCTCGCGAGGAATCTGCTATTTGTAGCCGCTGTCGCGGGAATCGTCGTCAATGTTTGCGTTCTGGTGCGTTCTTTCTCCCCTGTCCGTAACCGCGGCTTAAATCTCAGGCGGCTCACAGGGCACGCCGGGGAATCACCTCAGACAGTCTGTGATTTCCCATGTTTGATGGCTAACCAAAATTTAGACTTGGCGTTAACGAGAATTTTATGCGGCGCGCGTGATTAAATATGCCTTAGGCGGCCAATACACTAAGTAGTACACACAATGGGGGCAATTAACCAATGGGATTGGTGCGCGGTCGATACTGATTGGTGCTCATGGCAGATTCGCAGTTTGAAAGCGCAGGCTCAGTCATCTGCGGTGTGTGTTTTAGTGCTCTCTTCGACTCCTCCGCACCTCGTCGTCGTCAAGTCGCTGCCTCGCCAAGTCGTCGGCCGCGTCCGCAACCGCCACCGACGAGGTCGCGTGCGTCGTCGATCCAGCCCGCCAGCTACCACACACCGCCCTCACATTCATCCACCTGGCCTTCCTCGTTGGCTGCGTGGGTCTGCTGTCGCCTCAACTGCCCGGCATTGGCAACACCATTGCGTGTCGCGCAGACGGCAGTGTTCGTGTGGGTGAGCCCCAAACACAGTACGTCGAGTGTTGTTGTTTTAATGTTCCGGTTCGCGCGGTGAGCGCAATTTCAAATTTGCGGACGAAGCGTGACACCACCCCATGACATCTTAAGCATGTTATTTTACCTGATGTGCCAGAGGCATCAAGCAAACAAGTGTTGTTCACACCGAGGAACTTGTCCAACTCACGTTTTCGACTTCTTCGGAGTTCCATGGCGGCAGCTGCAGCACAGAGACGCGACAGCGAGTCGATAGAGAGGTTTCTCTGACTGCCTCCACCGCCATCTCGGTTGCTCCGCGAAGACGAGGCAGCTCGGTTGAGAACGGGACGCGAGAGGAGGCTTCGCAAACTCCTTCGATCGGCAGAGCCCGCGCTAGCGAGACCGACTGTGGAGTATGACCTGGAACAAAATCGCCTCCGACCTGTAACGAGAAGCGCATGACAGTCGAATTATGAAACGCCAAACGCTGATTAGAGACAGAGAAGAATGAAGTGCAAACAGACTTGATTGTAAAGAAGAATTTTCCTGCTGATCCTTCGCTAAACTGGCACGTCATCTGACACTAGAACTAATTTCACTGGAATATCCATTTTAAAGACATTCTCGACATTGTCGCGCGACGCTGCGTCTAAGATGGACGTTGCAGATTCCTACTACAATGTCTGTCTTCTCCTTCTGAGTCTAGCTTCGTTGAAGTAGGCACATTGGTTCAGACGATCCACAACCAGGCACAAGGTTGCTTCCAGTCTCTCCACAACCTCAAACCCATCGAGTGGTTTCGACAAGTCTGGAATTTCGCTGGCAAAAGCAACGAACATGCCACGTACTCAACAGCAAGCAGAATATGACGCCGGAAATGGTGCGATGCGAGAGTCTGAGGCCGGTACCACGTGGCCAACCGCTTTCTAGTCTACTTTAACTTCACAAAACTGCCACAATCTACAAGGCCTGCTAGCACGTCAGACTGGTGGACGTTGTGTAGACGTCGCGACAAGGCCACGCCGCCTCTAACCGACGCAAACATGGCCAACAATGGCGACACGGGGGTTTGAGGTGCAACTCACTTGAAGAAGACTTTCCAGGCCACATTCGACGATGGCGACTTCGACGACCGGACCTCGTCTAAAAGTAGACAACACGCCATAAAAGGAATGCCGTGTGCTAACCACCCCGTGCACCTCTCTTTGGCACAAACCACACAACTGACCCAATCCTCCTCACTGCTCTATCGACTGTTCGATCGTGTGCTTTCTTTCACTGTTAGATTTGAATTCCATATTGCATGTCATCATGGAAGTTGGTTGGAGAACTGCTTCATGTTTCCACTTGACAAGTGAAAATACAGTTTCCAATCCCCAAATGGAATGGCCAGTCTTTAGTTGACCGATCAACAAAAGACTTCAAAGATGGTGCTTGACGGTCTCCAAGTGGGCAACACTGTGGGTGAACGGATTATCTGGAAGTCCACGAAACGCAACCCAAAGCAACACCACACATTCCAGACAGGTTCCACCGAATTCAGCGTTCTGAATCACCCTTGTACCCTTTAATGCTCACTACGAAGTCTACTGACTTTGCATTCAGTAGCAATCGTGGGAGGAAGAAGGCGGACTCACCAGAGTGTGTTCCAGCGCCGCCGCAGTGACCGTCGCCATGTTGGCCTCGTCCCTGTGCGACGGCGACGAGGAGAGCGGATTGAAGAGGGTCTCGCCCTCGAGTGGGGACCTGCGCCCGCGGCGGGAGGCGAAGAGGGACTGGGAGGAGTTGAGGGAGTTGGACTTGTGCATCGGCGCAGCAGCCGCGCTTGTCGCGTTGCTGATCACCACCGACGACGTGTTGCCCCCGACGCCACCGCCTCGACGTGCGATGGAGGCCGTGTTGGTGAGGCCCACCGACGACAACACCGACGGCATGATCCAACCTGCAATTATCGATTGACATTACGGATTTTGTGGGAGGGGGGTGGCTTAGAAGCGGCTTGCAGAACGCTTGAATCCCAGTGCCATATCTTCCTACTACTGGACAAACACATTGCCTTGATGCTCAACCAAGGATACACTCTGACTTCCGCTTAGTCGTGACAGCCTTCGTGAAACAAGGAACTAAATGTCATGCTCGATGATTACAGCTGCTGTCCAAAGCAGACGTCTACGGCACAGACGGCGTTGAACGTTAGGTGTTTACGCAACTGCATTTTCTAACTTGTTCTTTGTTTTGTTTAGTCTGACTTCCGTCATAACAGAAAGTTACCAGGAGTAAACACTTAGATTATTGTATATATCTTCTGTTAATTGTTACCATATTTCCTATTTCTTGTCGTCTGTCCCGCGTGTCTGTTTTAAGTCGCTGTGGTTGTTTCTACCGTCGGTGTTTGGCGAGTGCTGATTGGTCTACCAAATGCTGCCTTTCCGATTTATCGCCAATTCGATTTGGGTGCGACGATATGAATTCCCCTCTTCAAACAGTAATTACTATTCCAAGGTCGTTTCAAGGTCACAAAGTGCCTACTTCAGCTAATCTAATCAACGCATGGTTCCACATGTCCTGGATGTGGTGGAACGTCGGTTCTAAAGATCAGGCACCTCATCTTCCACAAATGTGACTGTCTAGATGTTCGTTGTGTTTAGAGAACAATGGTAATCCACAACTGAGGTCACTCGAGATAAACCTTGAAATTTTGTGTTTAATTGACACCCGTAACCAGCCACACTGCTGCATATGTCTACGGTCAAGTGTCACACGTGTGGAATGTGAACTTTAAGTTGTACCGTGGGGATGATATTCATTCCCCTTTTGACTTGTCCTGATCAGAGGGCAGACCGTTCGACTAGAATTGGCAAGTTTTTTGAATCTGTGGTAACCTTGAGACGGTGATTTTAATCGGTCCATTCTTATTCTTTTAATTGAAGGGTTTGGACTATAATCTAGGGAATCAACGCAAAATCAGGTGGGTAGCCCACGCGATGCTATTGGCTCGTGGTGTCGTTAGTTTTCCTCGGAACTTGCCGACGCAAATATTGGCCACCTTGACTAATAAACACGCACTTTCTTCGTTCGTTGAAGAGGAGTAGCGTCGATTGCAGGCACAGGAGACGTCAGACGTGGCGAGTGGGCGCATCTGCGTGGTGGCGGTGGTGGAAGCCAAGAGGGTCTGATGCCTGGCCAACGGAGACACGCTGGTGGTGGTGGTTGTGTCATGGTGGCGACATTGCCGCGTGGTTGTCGCCAGCGCAGACGTCTTCCTCGGTGGACTGAGGAAGAAGACACCTGGATCCCACCAGGAGAAACTTGGAGGAAGGTGGAAGGTGTGTGGATCCGACGGGACAGCCAACGGAGGCTGCTCCAGGCAACGCGAGGCGTCGAGGTGTTTGGTTGGACAGGAGGTGCAAACTGAGAAGAGTCTGAATAAGAGAGGGAGGGAGGGAAGAAAATTAAGAATGAATTCGTGCCTCAGTCAGTTGACAACCGCTAATTCTCTGTTGGAAGAGGTCATTCAACAGACCTAATTGCCCGACCAATCACTGCACAGGAACGCAACTGAGGGGGTTAGACGCGTCATTCAACTTTACAGCGTGACATGCGACAGCAACCAAGACGCCTAGACTTGACTTAACAGCTGGCATGGCAGTTCAGCTGTTCCCTCAACCTAAACACCACTACGTCGACATTAGGTGGTGCGTTTTGAAGCCGAAGAACCTTCCAAAAAGGTGGCAGGCATTACCCTCGAGCGAGATCAAGCCACTTGCGCTTCACGGCTCTGTCCAGCAGACACATCGACGCGAAGACCAGGTTCACCATGAGGTAGGTGAAGAGGTTCAGCAGTAGGGGTCCGGTGAGGGGTTTTTTGTGGATGGCGACGTCGTCTTCGAGGAGGGATGCGGGGGGGTAGTCGGAGGGGAACCGCAGAGGGCTTGAGTTGCGCTCCACGCGGACACCGCCACCGCCGTCGACCTGGCTGTTGAACTGGACCTCTGAGTAGAAGGTGGAGGTTGCCGAGGCGGGATTGCGACAGACCGTGGACGCTGAGACACCGTCCAGCCCCATCAACCGATGTCGGAGTTGGCAGCTGGGCAAAATCACAGCAAGAGCGTAATTGGTTGCCTTTTTTCGCCGTGGGCATGAGGTGACATGCGGAGACTTACAAGAGGAATAATCTTTGAGATTCCAGCCACTTTGGTTCGCCTATGTAGGCGTAGAAGTGAACTCCAACAAAGAAAGCCAAGAGGGTGGTTAGCGCCAGGATAAACATCACTAAAATCGGAAGGCTTGTTTGAAACAGTGATAACACTGCGTTTATTTGTTCATTCTACTTACAAACATTCAGTAGCACTAATATAAACATTAAAATTGCGCGTGACTCACCATAGGCGCGAAAGCACAAGAGCAAACGATGGGCCATTTCACGGTCGGCGGGTTGGTAGGATGTCGCAAGGAGGTATTGTCGTAGACGTTTCATTGATCCAATCGCACGACCCAAGTAGATCGCCTTGGCAAGCAAGCAGAGAACAAGGGGGGACACAACCATGGCACAATAGGCCCACAGCGTGCGAATTCCCACCCAACACAGACCGGATAGGGGCTCACCATCGATCTTAAGTGGAAAAATCAATAGTCACTGCACGATGGAGGCATTGTGATTCCGGTAAAAGTCAATCAAATCTGCGTTTGGGAAGTACAGATTTGCGCAAAACGAGGTAAGCCGTTTAAGCGACATTAGAGTTGACTGAAGGAAACGAGCAACACGGACGACCAATCAGAAAGCGGCATAGCGCGACAATCACCCAATCACAACGCAGCACCGGCCAATTATGTATGTCGAAGTGGCAAGTAACGCGTTCACAAAAATAAACAATAAGCACCCACCTCGGATGCGGTAACGGTTATCACAGAAAAGACTATGGGAGCCGCCAGTGCGACAATATGGATGCAGGTGGTTTGCGAGCCCATGGAATTGAATGTCGCGCGCTGCTGGTCGGCCAATCGCTGTCGCCCAAAGTCCTCCTCTGATTGGCCAGTCACGCCGTCGGAGAAACTGTCCCGGACAGAAGACGTGGGATAGAGGACGCGGAAGACGAGGGGCATATTATGGCCGACGAAGTCCCCACTTCTCAGTTTCCACGAGGCATTCTGATTGGCAGGTTGAACTGACGCTAAATGGAGAAGGAGGGGGGCGGGGAAATCAACCAATGGTACACCAGAGAGAGCGTGCGCGCGCCGAGAAGTGTGACCTCTGACCTTTTTCCCCCATTTCCACCAGGCTGATCTTCCGCGTGGACGGACTAGACGGCGATACGGACCTCTCCATGGCTTGGTTAACACCACCGCCACCACCACCACCACCACCTCCCCGACGCTTCTTCGGCAACTCGCAAGAGTCGGGAGGAAGAAGGGGAGCGGGAGGCCGCTCACGCAGTCCGCGAAGACGCCAGGGTCGTCGTCGGTAGAGACGCTGGATGTGCGAGGGTCGTGGGAAGGCGGGACGTGGCGCTGGACGCGTGATTCGCGACGCCGCGTCGTGGAACACCGAGAAGATTGCGTAGTCGAGGATGTTGGACCAGAAGGCAGCGGCTATGACCGGCATGTAGACCAGCATGAAGGAGATGACACAGAGCGTCGGCGAACCCGTCCTGCAAGCACACGACAACGAATTAAGTCAACTGAGCATGGGAAAGGACGAAACAGCCTGCGTTATGACGAGTTTCAAGTTGCTAACAAATGCCAACATGAAAATCGCGTGTCTAGGAGGCTAGTTTTCCTCACAAGGCCGAGGAAGCTCTCCATTAAAACAAACAAGAGTGGGCCAATTAAAATCACCGTCTCAAGGTTACCACAGATTCAAAAAACTTGCCAATTCTAGTCGAACGGTCTGCCCTCTGATCAGGA